CCACCCACAGGCCCACGGCCCCGCCACCCCGGCCCCTCCACCCCTGCTCGGCCACTCACCCGCCGCGGGGTCACCTTCTCTCCGCGTTCGCGGCGCTCCGCCTCGTCTCCTCCAGCAGGAGAGAGCGGCTCAGCGCGCCCGCCGGCCCCGCGCCACAGCGGCCCCTACAGCCCGGAGGCCGCGGCGCAGGCGCGCGGAGGCAGCAGGGACCCGGCCAGCGCCGCTCCTCCACTTTCCAGTCCCTCCTGCCCGCCTGCGGGATTGGCCAGCTGGAGTTTACAAGGAGCGGGGCGGGGGTGATTGGTTTCCTCCTTTTTTTTTTACCTTGAATTTTCAGCCTCCTAGGTTCAAATTACTTTCCAGTTTCGCATGTGTGTTTTCTATAAATGAAAGGAGACATCACCTCGAACTACATAAATGTATTTAGTGGAAGAGGGAAGCTTTCTGATTTGTGAAAGAAAGCTTGGACCTGGTCTCCTAGCCCCATTTTAGGGGCACAGTCAGTGAGATGTACAGTTAATGCTCTGCCACTCTATTAGTGCCTTGAGATTCCATGTGAAGATTTGTGTGGCTACGGTTGCAATAAGAATAGATACAGATGTACCAGGAGCCAACCCAAGCACCCTGATCCTGGACCTCTAGCTTCCAAAACTATGAGAAAATAAATTGCTATCGTTTAAAAAAAAAAGAAGAATAGATACAGATGCCGGTTTGCATACTTTGCTGACATTGAAGTTTGTTGGAATACAGGTTGTGTTAAAATAAATGAAAGAGTATCAGGTGTCCAGATTTTGGCATGGATTTATGTAAAGCTTTGACAAATGGATTTTGAATTTAAAACTGGTTCTCTCAAGACAAATTAATTTTAATTTGATGTTTAATTTTTAAAAGTTCATTGACATCTAATATTAGAAAGCAGTCTTCTGACAAATAAGTTAAATTTTAATTAAAAATCTGTTTGTAGTGTGAAAAGGTGTTTGACATCATTAATCATTAGGAAAATGCAAATCAAAAGCACAATGAGATATTACCTCACACCTGTTAGAATGTTTATCATCTAAAAGACAAGATAACAAGTGTTGGCAAGGATGTGCAGAAAAGAGAACCCTCATGCACAGTTGGTGGGTATGTAGATTGGTGCGGCTACTATGGAAAACAGTATGGAGGTTCCCCAAGAAATTAAAAACAGAACTACCATATGATACAGCAATCCCACTTTTGGATATATAGCTAAAGGATGTGAAATCACTGTCCCAAAAAGATACCTGTACCCCATAATGTTTATTGCAGCATTTTTACAATAGCTGAAGTATGGAAACAACCTAAGCATATTTCAATGGTTGAATGGATAAAGAAGACATGATATACATATATAAATATACTATTCAGTCATGAAAAAGGTCATCCTGCCATTTTCGATGACATGACGGACCTTGAGAGCATTATGCTAAGTGAAGTAAGTCAGATCAGAAAAGACAAATACTGTATGATCTCACCTATATGTGGAATCTAAAAAAGAGAAACACAAAGAAACGAAGAGTAGAATGGTGATTACCAGGGGTTGACAGCGGGTAGGGGAAATGTGGAGATGTTTGTCAAAGAGTGCAAGCTTCCAGTTATAAGATAAGTAAGTTCTGGGGATGTAACCGTAGTAATGAGAGTTAATAATACCATACTGTGTACTTGAAAGTTGCTAAGAGAGCAAATCTTAAATGTTCTTAACACAGAAAATAAATAGTAATCATGTGATGTGATGCAAGTGTTAGCTAATGCTATGACGGTAATCATTTTGCAATATATAAGTGTATCAAATCAACACTTGTACACCTTAAACTTCCACAATGTTGTGTGTCAATTCCACCATTAAAGCTGGGTTGTGGGGAAGTTGCCCACAAAATCAGCCAAAAGGCCTACATATCAGACACAAAAGTCTCTCCAAGAGTGGGTGGGAGTGGGAAGGCTGTGTAGTAAACGCAGAACAACTGAGAGCCACAAAGCTTTGTTGTATTATGTGATCAACATACCCATTTGTTCTTCTTATCCCTTAGGGTTCTCTTCACTAATGAGTTAAATGCCAAATATTACTATGTAAACAAAAGCACTTTTACCTTCATGATTAATCCAAAGTGATCAAATAAAAGAATAAGGACTAAGAACCTGCAAAAAAAAAAAGAAGCATAAACTGTGGGTAAAGATAACACAGAAAAGCCTAAAGGCCTTGTCAATTTCATGGATATGAATACAACACAAATGATATGAATAGACAATAGTTCTTTCCAGTTTATGATGCTTTTAAGACATTACTTGGAAGAATGACGCCAGTCTGAATACAGCTTTTATAATCCTCATTTTAAATAGCACCATCAATATTTAATAACGTTTAACAGGAGATCTGGTATTTGCTAGGATTAGGAGATTTTATATTTGATGGGATCAGCTGCATAGAACAAAGGTTCATCTGGGGGAAAATACATTCAAATTTACAAAAGATACGTGTTTCAATCAGAAGTTCTCACAGTGCGCTCCGGGGATCATGCTAGTGGTCTGTGCGCCTCCTCAAGGGAATCTCATATGTGCTGGTACTTGTTGTTTTCAGGCAAGAATCAATAGTTGATTTACAAGATATGATAAAAATCATATTAATTTATTGGTGTTTTGTCAAAGGTAGGCTTTGTTTTGTTATTGTTGCCGTAATTTTTATAATATAAATGCTGGCTTCTTTTCCCTAACCTCAAGCCAAATCAGAGCAGGTGATATAATTGATGTGGGCTCAGGGAATATCTAACTCCACTGAGTGAATTATTAGCTGACAAACTGGAAAAAATTAATCATGTTGTGGTATAAAGCAAAAATAATCTCAGTTCTTCGCTCCCCTATCTCCCACCTCGCAACCCCTGTGTCCACATCCTTATCCACACCCTCCCACTCTGACTCTGGGATTGAATTTGTCAACTATTTTGGTTAATATGATGTTAGCAAATGGGCTCCAAGCAGAGGCTGAAAAAGTGCTTGGACTGGTGGGTATGCCCTAACTCACCTGCTGGAGATGAGAAACGCGCAGAGCCAAGCCAAATCATCCCAGCCATTCCAACTCAGGCCATTCTAGACTGGCCATCAGTCAGCTTGCCCCTAGATGTGTGAGCAAACCAAGATTAGCAGAGCTACCTGCCCAGATCAGCTGAGCCTAAATGTGTCTTGTCGTTTTGTTACACTGAGATTTTGTTGGTAGTTGGGCAGCATTATTATGGAAATAGATAACTGATACACATGTCCTCCATTGTCAATTCCCTGGAATCTAAGAGCATCTGCCTAGAAGCTTGAGGAGTAATCTTTGTTTCCAGTGGGGACTGTCAGAAGAACCAAGGTCTTGTTATTTATGAAAACTTTCTTGTGGTTTGATATCATAGGAATATCTGTTATGGGAAAGAAATAAAATCTATCAAATGATAGGAGACAAAAATGAGTAAAAAAAAATTAGAATGGGGGAACCTATTATTTCTACGATCACAATTTCTTATCACTGTTTTGCTTCCATATAGCATTTTTAGCAAAACTGTTTTTTGATACTTTTCAGGTTATTACATATTTGTTTCTATCACATTTCAAGATACCAGAATGAACAATGTTTATTCTATATGAATTCTTCGGAAGTCTCATAATCTCAAAGTATCTTAAAAAGAAGACAATGGTAAAACATTTTTTATTCAATTGTTCTTTTATAGAATGAAGGAGCAGAAGTTTGTTATCACTGCAGTTAGGTTCAGTTTAGTGAAAAAAATTTTGGTGCATTCAACGTGACAGGTACTATACTGGACACTGGGAGGGACTCAGACATTGACATATAGCCTCTGCCCTTCAGCATCTTAAAGATCTGTGAGGGAGACAGATGTGAAAACAGGTCATTGCAGTATAATGTGGTAAGTGATACCACAACGATCTGCACAAGAGTTTATGGAAGCTCAGAGAAGGGTATCTGGCTTGGCCTGGAGGTTTGTGGCTGGGAGGGGCTGATGACTGAGCTGAGAGTTGGAATCAGAAGTGCTAATTAAGGCAAGGAAATTAGGAAGGATGTTTTAGGGCAGGGGAACCAGAATGAACACAGGCCTCAAAGTGTTCAGCCAAGTAGCATGATGTGCTGTGTTTAGTAGTCACTGGAGAGTGAATAATAAAATGAAAAATGGGAAGAAATGAGGTTGGGGAACCAGGGGCTAGCCTAGGAGGGCTCATACCCATCATAAAATACTTGGACAGTGATCTGAAGCCATTAAACGAGGAGCGACATGGTCAAATTTCTGTTTCCCATAGACCTCTGTGAGAACGGGATGGGCTAAAGGCACAGAATTAGTTGAAAAGCCAATGCGGTACTCCAGGAGAGGGAGCGTAAAGGCCTGAATTAGGCCAGTGATAGGCACTACAGAGAACAGGGGCCACACTTTGGTGGCATTAGCAGGGAAAGTTAATAAGACTAGTGACCGATTTAGATGGGGGCAGGAGGTGGTAACAACGAGGAAACTAGGATGATGGCATGGATCCTCTGGGGCTCCACCCAGATCCCCGCTTTGGGGCGTTGCAGAAAGATCTGCTGCCAACCGCTCAGAGCTGCTCCTTCGCGGGGCATTCCCTCGGCTTCAGAAACTGCCTCACATTGTCTTTCAGCGGTGGCCTGTGACCAGTGACTGGTGAGGAGGGCACAGAAAGGCCTAGCCCTCGTCTCAGTGTGAGAGAACTCTGATGGGCCGTCTTAGCCTCAGAGCCTCCGGCAGGATCTGCTGAGACCTCAGTTATAACCACCCGTGGGACAGCTGCTCCCTCTGCCTGATCCTGCCTTTCCACTTCCTTGCAAGTGTCTTACAAGCATGTCCCAAGAGTGCTCCCCAGCCAACCTTCCGCACACAATTCTCCAGCTCAGGGCCTCTTGCTAAGGCATTTAGTCTCAGACAGATGACCATCAGGGCTTTGACTCGGGCAATGGTGCCATTGGCCAAGATCTTAGCTGCAGGAGGAAATGCAGATTGGGGAGATGCAGGCAGACAGAAAAGAGTCCAGTTTGAGCTACCTGTGGGATATCTAGATGCATATGAGGAAGTCAGTGTAGGCATCTGAAGTTCAAGGGAAATAAATATTTAGGAACCAACAGAAAGATGATAGTTAAAACCA